TGGAATAATTATGCAGAACAGGGAGGAAGCAGAATAGATTGATTCTTTTTTCAGAGATTATCTGTTTCATGTTAGGACAGCGGAAGTTTTAAACAGCGAGAGCAGAACCAGCGTCTTACATCGCAGCTCGAAGACTTAGATAATTTTGCGGGTTATTTGTTTAGCTTTCTGACCGTCATGCTAATCCGGGTGAGTGTTTGTAGCTGTGCGCTGCTTTACCTGCTATCTAATCCTCCATATGTCTTTTTTTTACTGCAGTGAGCCTCGATGCAGCCAAACTCCGTCAAGTATGTCATTGTTTTTATGCCATATTAGATTCGTCGTGTTGATGCATTTTGACGCGCTTCAATTTTACGCCGCAACACCCAAACTTCCCCATTCACTCAGTGCGTTATAGTTACACATCGCTTAGGATTTGTTGCTGCGCGTTTGCGCAGAGTGAAGGAAAGAGGAGACCAGCTGCACAGGCAGGTTGGGAAATGATATGCAGGTGATCGGTTTGTGTGATCGGCAACAAGAGACCGTGATCGACACCGATCATAACTTTTTCACGGAAATCGGCCGATTATGATCGGTGGCCGATCGATCGGCACACCTCTACCCCACATCACATCAAATATAGTTTTATTTGATTTAATGACTTTCTGAGTTGGGTGGTGAAGTGCAAATTTGACGCTGTTCTGAAATTTCCCTAAATAATCGCCAACATTATTAGGCAATATTTTCACAAAATAACTTCACAGGGATTCCAAACCAATGCACTGCCAAGTAAAGTCATTCTCACACACTATAAACTTTTTAATATCTGATCACGTTACAACCTCAAACTTAATAGCACTTTGCTTGGATTCAAAGTGATACACAATGTAGAGTATGAGGGGAAATGAAAGGGAAGCACAAGAATTTGAGAAGTGAAATGTATATGTATTCACCCCCCTTTACTCTGATACCCCAAAATTAAAACTAGAGTCTAATACACTAATTGGGACAACTGCAAATTCTGCATCACATCAGAGCCATCTCCCTGAAGGGAAATGCAGGGCAAGGAGAGCATCAGGTCTAGATCAGCAGCAAGTAGAAGCTGTTCACAGGACGACTATTGGCTGGGCACTGCACAAATCTGGCCTTAGCAGAAGCACGGCAAAAAAAAACAACACTGTTCCAGATACACAAGTTCTTTTTCATGTACCAATTTATGGGACACGGTTAATATTTCACATAAGCTGCTCTGGTCAAATGAGACCAAATTGAAGCATTTCTTGGCATATTTTGACTATTATTTTATACTATAATCCCTCCTGGAGCTTTCACTTACTCTAGCCAACTGTTTTGGGGTCCCAAATTGAACCAGTGACGCTATGAAGCAACTCCTACCAATGCAGGATAGTCAACGAGGTCAACAACAATGATTTTCAGCAACAAAGCCATAACCAATGGTTCTATCACAGCGACTACACTTTACAACTAAAAACTCATTGGAAATTGTGAATTTGTGGCAATTTGATGCTCTTCGTTCATTCTGGCTGAAACTAAGCTACTTTGTAAAGAAGAAGAAAAAAGAAGTACAGTCTCTAGGTGTACAAAGATGGTAGAGAAATTCATATCCAAAAACACTTGAAACTGTAAAGGTTGTAAAGGTTAGTCCCACAAAGTACTGACTTAAGGAAGTTTGATAAAATGCAGAAAAACCTATCTGAACAATGTATTTTCTGTTGGGACGATAATAAAATCCCAATAACATGTATTGAGGTTTGTACATCCAACGTGAAAAAACAGCAGAGGTTTTCCCTTTGTCCTACCTGGGTGTAATTTATAGGCTGCTGTAAAGAAGGCATGATGTGAGAAAGGCTGTCCGCTTTGAGCAGAGTCGACTCTGGGATGATAACAGTCCCGTTCACATTGAGCGCCGTTATTGGTTTCTTGGCGAGCTCTGGGGTCAGTTTACCCATCTGCAGTTCTGTCCGTTTGGTGTCTGTAGACAAAGTTTTTGGTTTAGCAGTTTTCACTGTGTTGGTTTTGATGAGCGAGGAGCTTCCCAGTCTGTCCCCTTTGCCAGGAAGCGAACCCAACGTGTTGTAAATGACTGCGTTGTTGCTGCAGCCTTCTATCGTCTGTTCCAGGATTGTCTGGTTGTTCATTTTGATGCGTTTGAATTTGAAGTTGCTCTCCCCGGGGTGACATCTCTCGTTGTGCTCCGTTAGGGTGTCGAACTTCTTAGTGTTGAAGTTGCATACAGCGCACAGGTACAGTGGGTTGAGGATGACATTTGGATGGTTGGAGTCCACGTGTTCCTTGAAAGTGTTTAGATTCTGTGTGGAAAAGGTGCAGTATTTGCACTCGTAGCCTCCCTGCTGTCTGCGCTGAGGTTTGGAGGGGTCTGGCGGCTCCTTTTGTGGTTTGTCAGGACCTGTGGGAGCGTCCGAGGCTTTGCCTGTCCCGTCAGAGTCTGTCGGTGGCTCTGCTTGCACCGGATGGTCTGTATTCATAGGCACCTCATCCTGAACATGGTTTTCTGTTACCTAGCAGAAAGAGAAAGCAAAAGTCATTGGATTAGATTTTTAACTTCTATATAAATGTTTAGTTAAACCTTTTGCTATGTGAATGATTGTAATTAGGGTCTTCTTCACATATAAAATCCCACCAGGGCCTCCAAATGTTACAATAAAAAACAACCAAACAAACAAACAAAAAAACAATGCTCCTGCCTCCATATTGTGCGATTCGTCCTTATCATCATCCACCTCCAACTGTGTTTGCTCTGGTCGGATCATGCAGGGAGTGGAAGCTTTGCGTCGACTTGACATGATGATTTCAGGTTGCGGGTCAGGAATGTGCTTAGAGTTGCTTTTGTCTTGGCTCGGGATTCCAAGATGGAGGACCACTGATTAAATACAGAATGACTGTCTAAAGTGGAGCCAGACAGATTAAACGCAGACCAGAACGGGACTTTCTGGGACTGTCACAGAGAGACGTCAAAGAAATGTTTTGGTATTTGTAGAGAGACCAAATACGATAATGGGAGATGAAGGACTGTTTGCAGAGCAGCGTGGGCTGGACTCGTTGACGGTGTCAGCTCCAACAATGGCAGCTCTTCTGGGTCTTCATGACAGGATGCTGCCTGGATGGGAGACAAAAAAAAGTCAGCAAATGAGAACCGATCATTGCCATCAGTAGAAAAATGTTTTCACGCTCATCTACAGTTCTTCGACCTCTGTGAGAATAGCCTGAAATCTTCTGCAGAGCATAAGCAATGACAATGAAATAATTCAAAAGCAAAAGTCAAGATTAGGTGTTTGAATGTTGTCTGGTGTAACAGATAACCACAGTTTTCAAGTTTCAAGCTGAATGTTGGTGGTATAAAACAGTAGCTGGCAAATGAACGGCACAGCAAACAGGCGGTCTACAGGTGGCCTGCTTCAGAAAAGTCTTTGAACAATAGAACAAAACTGCAACAATGCTTTTTTTTTGCACAAACTACTGTGCAGGCAACAATCTTAAGGAGTACCTGCGGCGAACCACTGGAAGATTAAACGAAAGGTAGCGTGCTGCTTAATGAGCATTTGTTGTTTCATGCTGGGAGACTGGTGGAAAAGAATGTGACAAAAAAAACTAACAAAAATAGAAACCTTTTGACAATATTGTGAGTCAAAACTCCACAACTTCAGGCAAAGCACGAGCCAGCGATAATACTGGCTGTAATGTGTGAGGAGCAACTCTCAGAAAACGTAATGTGCTAATTGAATGAAAAATGATTAAGTACAAGGCTGGGAAAGGAAAATACAAATTAAGGGTATCAACTACTTGAACATTATAAATATTGTAAGTCAGATGATAAAGATGATCTTTTGTTAGGTTTTGGTCTGCAAACCTGCAGATCCACATAACCGTTGCGTCAGATTCACGGTGGCGATACTTTAGCTGGGATGCAAATATATTCAGATCTGCTGCTGTCAGGAACAAGAGGACTGTCCAGAGTAATGCTGAATACTTATTCAGCTGATTGGACCACAAAGTGTGGATAGAATGACAAATCAGAGATAAATCAGATTCACATTCGCATCTTGAAGAGCCAAGAACAGCTTTATTGCGGAAAATGACACCCCATCAAGAAGGAACATTCAGAAATATCAGAGGAAGTGTGAGCTGGAGAAAGTTTTCTTGCAGGCTAATGAGAGAGAAGCTTATCTGACTGAAAAGGCCCATTGATATTCTGGAGGCCTCTCGCACAAGCTTTACTCTCATATTCACATGAGTAAAAATCAAATGAGTTCATGCAGCTGCGGTGCTCTTCTATCGGGACTTAATGAGGTTCCATAAAACATGGCACAGAAGAACGAGTCCTCATTCCAAATTAAAATCTCACTTACACAACGGCGCTTTATTGCTCCAGTAATAAAGTAAAAATAAACAGAGGAAGTCTGACGCTTCCAAGCACAGACGACCCGAGGCAGTTTCATCAGCTCTGGATTTACTTTGTAATCACCTCAGAGAGTCACGATCTCAATGCGAACCTCTCCAACGCCTCCTCCGTTTAGAAAAGCACTGACACCTTTGAGGCCTGCATGCTGCCATCCCAGCCACTGTCCCAATGGGTCTCGCATCTTCCAACGCCCCATTGAAGCATTGTCAGGAAGCAGCTGCGTTGCCGTGGTGTCGCTATGACAACAGCGAACGTAAAGTACCACAAGCTGTACATACATCGTCCAACTGCATTCAGGTTTGTTTGCCATCTCTTAAGAGGCAGAGGAGGAGTTAGAATAAACTAATGCACCCGTTATGAGGATGGGTGGTTTGTGAAATCTGGATGGTAAATTTAGCACAAAAAAAAAAACTTCCATAAATGATCATTAAAAAATTAAGCAGTACACACAGTGGCAACTTTATGATGTGCTTTCAATCCAAACCGAGTAACAGTATATTTTTGAAAGGAAGTCAACTTTTCATTTCTGGAGGCAGAAAGGTTGGAAGTCTTGATTCATGTTTGTGTGCCTACAATCTCCTTCCTGTTCAACTCTACTTCTGTTGATGTTCCTGCTGTGTAGCAGGTAGATTTTCTACGCAGCGACACCTATCGTTTAAGAAAAGAGGTGCAACAATTAGCAACCAACACGTTGCTCGCACCAATGCCGATATGTGGTTCTGGTGTCAATCTGTATATTTTACAGACTAAAACCCAGATTTGTAATTGGCTGATTACAGCTGGAAAGTTTGCAGCATGCTGATTTGAAAGCTTAGACCTGCTGTGGGCAATATGCTGACAGTTTTTTTTATTTATTTTATTTTTATATATTTTTTTAATGAAAAATAAGAGTGAAATGCCAGTTGTGAAATATTATTAAACTTTCTTGGCGCAGTCGCTGTACAAAACGGGGCAGTAAAGTGATCTTGTGCCACAAGATATTTTTGCTTCACTTTTATTAGCCACATACAGGTCTGGTTATTGCCAAATAACTTAATCAGAACCTGCATGAAAACATGAAGCAGGCAAAAAGATCTTAAAAAGCTATACATCCGAAGTAACACACGAGAAAATCATTGATAGCTTTCATTCTAAGAAGGGTTATGGTGCCATTTTTAACATCTTGGGACATCAGCATGGTGGTGACTTTCTGTAGCAAGTCACTACCGCTGACTGACACCTGACTCAGATGAGGTCAGTGTTCATAATTCAAAAATAAAAGAAAATTTTATCCATGGTAGAGTTTCAAGACCAAAACCACCGTTGACCAAAAAACCTCCCACAAAGTCCGATCTAACATTTGCCACAAAACACACGAAGATCCCCAAGATATTTGGAAAATGCTTTATGGACTGCAGAGACAACAGCAAAACTTTCTGGAAGACTTGTGTCCTGTAACATGTGGTGTATAAACTAACAGCATTTCAGCATAAGCCAAACAAGGTGGAGGTACTTCCTGCTTCACCACCTTGTCATAAAATCCTGAAGGAGAATGTCCATCCATCAGTTCCTGACTTCAGTGTTAATATTCAGCATGACAAAGCACAGCATCCCTGATATGCTCCAAAGAAACCAACTGAAGGACTAGGTTTAGCGGCCTAGTCAAAGTCCAGCCTCAACTTTAATTAAAAAGCTGTGGAAAGGCCTTAAACAGGCTGTTCATACTGCAGACCTCTATTGTACATAACTTAAGACAATTCTGTGTTTAGTGGTGATGGGACCTAATTTCCCGTTGCCACTGGTTGCAGTATATCAGGGGTGGCCAAGTCCAGTCCTCGAGAGCCACCATCCTGCAAGTTTCAGATGCATCCCTGCTTCAACACACCTGAATCAAATGACTGCCTCGTTATCAGGCCTCTGTAGAGCTGATCCCGGTCTGTTGGAGTAAGGATACTTCTAAAACTTGCAGGATGGTGGCTCTCGAGGACTGGACTTGGCCACCCCTGCAGTATATAGTACACCATATAACTCCAGCATAGAACTGCATACCAGTGCACCATACACCATATGTCCCTTGAAAAGTATGATTTATCTCTGCTGAAATCCAGTTAACATCGGATAAGGAGGAATGGAGGGATGCATCTGTCAGCTGCGACTGAAGTGCCACTTCACGTGACCCCCTGAACTTCAGCTGCCACACTGCTGACACAGCATGAACCCTCCTCAAAAGCGATGATGGGAAAGACAGAGCAGAAGCGAAGAGAAAAGCCATTGTGCTGCAGCTGAATTTTTATCTCCTACAGTGGATCTATACAAGCTGAGAGGGAAGATGAGCCATCCCCTTATGCAACACCATTTAGTCACAGGAACTTATATGACAAGCACTTAGTGTCGTCAACAGGATGCACGGAGGAGAACATCAGAGACTGCTTTATGTAATAAAGAAGTTGCTACCGTGCCACTGGAGTAAAAAAAGAAAAAGTGTTCAAAACATGTCAGATTTTGAGCAGAAGTCAGAAAGGCAGACATTATTGTACACAATGTAAATACAAACAACTTAGCCAGTTTGAATTGTGGCAGTCAAACATGTGTGCCCACCATCTCAAACAGAGAGAAACGCCTGAGCAAACAGATGAACACTGGAGATAGACCAACACTCTTCTTCCTCTCTCAACATTTTTCACTGGAGGAGGGGCGGCTCTCCTGCTGCTTCACCGAATGCCATCACAAAGAATCCATGTTGTTAATCATATCATATCTGCAGCTTTTATCTAATTTAGTCATCTTTGTAATACACTAACAGACTTTCAGTCTCAAGGTAAAATAATACTAAGGATTTTTTTTGTCTGATGTCCTTGAAGTTTTTTTTTTTTTTTTTTTTGGACTCTGCAATCTGTTGCCTGAGTTTTAAACACCAAAAGAGTCTCTGTTCTTCAAGCTAGAAAATGTTTATTAACTGTGATATTTGCTCTAAAACTTGAGCTGCGTTCACAAGTTAGGTCAGACTGTCAGCCTCCCACCTGTTCCATTAGTGTGTCTAACCCAGTCAGCCAATGTGTGCAGAGTGAGCTCCGTGCCAGAGCCACAAACTCCCTACTGTCTGGATGCTCATTAAACTTGTATGAATACTGAGCCTGGCTGCCTCTAGCCTGGCCGTCTGTCAGTTTGTGCTGTCCTGTTGTTTGGCTGCCTGGTTGGCATCATAATAGTGGAGCCATCTACCTGAAAATGTTAAGTAATGCGATGAAGAAGGACGGACAGTAACAAGGTTACGCTACAGACAGTAAGACAACATGAATCAAAACAATGCCATCCGGAGCCGCTACTCTGACGCATGAAGACAGACAGACGATCCGATACGTCAGAAACACAATAGGGCCATAGGAAGGATGTGCTATCAAACAGCACGGAGAGGCAAATGACACAGAACAGATGAGTCACAGCAGTACACTCGACTCAGTCCCTATTTCTGTGTGCCATTAAGGTAATCTCACACTGAGGAAGGGCAGATGCTTCTCACTTGGCGCATACAAGATCTGGAGTTTCAAAGAGACTGTTTAGCTGAACCTGTCGTCATAAAAACACCCATCATAGCTTCTCTGTGAAAATAAAAATACAGCTAGACTTGTAGTGAAAGATCTTTATGTTGTTCTTTAGGTCTTAAGACATTTTTACTTGGGGATCACTATAGTAACTGCTGCCAATGTGACTAAGATGTT